GGCAACCACCCGGCAACATAGTCTGAAACCTTAGACCGGCGCAGCACCCCCCCGATGTCGAGGCTGAGGGGAGGCACCACCAGGTCTTCATGTATAAAGGCCACCTCGATGCACAGTGGATTGGGCTCCACATGGAACATGCGGTACCCCATTCCCTCCATGGCGTACAGGAAGGGCAGAGAGCGCTTGGGATCGTGCTTGCTGGGGTAGTGTGAGAGCGGGATATGGGTAAATAGAGTGTGCATGAGAGTGTGTGGGTTACAGTCGCTCATTCACAAGTGATACTACACCAACCAGCAGCTGTCCAAAAGGCAGGTTCAGCCCATTCACCACCACCTTGGCATCCTTTATGAGTGTGTGTGAGGTGAAGACAAAAGGATACAATCACTCACCAGTGAAACGCCACAACAGGTTACAGAGACTCACTAGTGAGACTTCACAAGAGGATACAATCACTCAGTTATACTAGACCACCCAGCAGCTGTCCAAAAGGCAGGTTCAACACATTCACCACGACGTTCGCATCCTTTATGAGAGTGTGTGTGTGTGTGTGAGTATGTGTGTGTGTGTGTGTGTGCGTGCGTGTGTGTGTGTGTGTGTGTGTGTCAACACAAGAGGATATAGGGTTTAGGGTCCATGCGTGGAACTTCACCAGCAGCTGTCCAAACAGCAGGTTCAATCCATTCACCACCACCCTCGCATCCTTTATGAGTGTGTGTGAAGTGAAGACAAGAGGATACACTAACTCACTAGTGAAACGCCCCAACAGGATACAGAGACTCACTAGTGAAAGTTCACCAGCAGCTGCCCTAAACGGCAGGCTAACCATTCACCACCAGCTTGACACTCCTTATGAGTGTGTGTGAAGTGAAGACAAGAGAATACACTCACTCACGCATGAAACCTCACCAGCAGCTGCTCAAACGGAAGGCTCCCCCCATTTATCACCAGCTTCACACTCCTTATGAGTGTGTGTGAACTCAACAAGAGGTTACAGCCACTCACGCGTGCAACTTCACCAGTAGCTGCCCAGACGGGTTATGAGGCGCCTCAAAACCACTCATTCACCACCAGCTTTGCATCTCATATGGGAGTGTGCGAGTGTGCGTGGACACAAGCAGAGGTTACAGCCACTCACGCATGCAACGCCACCAGTAGCTGCCCAGACGGGTTATGAGGCGCCTCAAAACCACTCATTCACCACCAGCTTTGCATCTCTTATGGGAGTGTGCGAGTGTGCGTGGACACAAGCAGAGGTTACAGCCACTCACGCGTGCAACTTCACCAGTAGCTGCCCAGACGGGTTATGAGGCGCCTCAAAACCACTCATTCACCACCAGCTTTGCATCTCTTATGGGAGTGTGCGAGTGTGCGTGGACACAAGCAGAGGTTACAGCCACTCACGCATGCAACGCCACCAGTAGATGCCCAGACGGGTTATGAGGCGCCTCAAAACCACTCATTCACCACCAGCTTTGCATCTCTTATGGGAGTGTACGAGTGTGCGTGGACACAAGCAGAGGTTACAGCCACTCACGCATGCAATGCCACCAGTAGCTGCCCAGACGGGTTATGAGGCGCCTGAAAACCACTCATTCACCACCAGCTTTGCATCTCTTATGGGAGTGTGCGAGTGTGCGTGGACACAAGCAGAGGTTACAGCCACTCACGCATGCAACGCCACCAGTAGCTGCCCAGACGGGTTGTGAGGCGCCTCAAAACTGAGCATGTGTGAATACAAAAGGTTACAGGTACTGACCAGTGAAACACTCACGCGTGAAACTCCACTAGCAGTTGTCCAAAAAGCAGGTTCCCTCCATTTATCACCAGCTTCATACTTATGAGAATGTGTGAAGTGAAGACAAGGGGATACAATCACTCACTAGAACTTCACAAGATGCAACAGAGACTACTTTTGAGGCGTCTCAAAAGACTCACGCGTGAAACTCCACCAGCAGCTGCCCTAACAGCAGATTCCCCCCATTCACCACCAGCTTTTGCATCTGGAGTGTGTGTGTGCGCACGTCTGTGTGTGTGTGTGTGTGTGAGAGAGAGAGAGAGAGAGAGAGAGAGAGAGAGAGAGAGAGAGAGAGAGAGAGAGAGAGAGAGAGAGGATACCAGGATACCTTAGCCCTCGGCCCTCTGCCTCATCCCTCTGCCCTCTGCCCTCCCTGCCTATTTAAGGGCTGTTTGAGCGTGCTTCTCCCTGAGACTCAGGAAGTTTACCGTCTCGGGGCATGGGCACCCATATGTCTCAACCGCAAGTGGGAAAAACTTCACCCACTCTGGGTGGTCCTTGTAAAGGCCGTGTTTCTTATCCGCCGCTTCCCGTGCTGCCCACCCCCACCCTTTGGTTGCGTTTTCATCGCGGGTGCTGATGGGATCTGTGACCGTCACGTTGCAGATGTGAACGACACCGGTAGAGCGGTCACGTAGAGCTAGGTCAGCCTTCTTCTCCTCCACTGGGCTGAAGGCGGCTGTTTCTATATGCACCATGAAGCCAGCATCTTGCGCCATCCGTGCGCATTCGTCTCTAAGTTTGTTGTGTGTGTTGATACGCCCTCCCCCCTGTACCGCACCGTAGCAGATGATTCGGGAGCCGTTTATCAAGGATTTTCACTTTCTCCGCGCAGTTGCACACCCCGGGAGCAGCAAAGGGAAGCCCCAATCAAAACTGGAGCGCGTTGGCATAGTGGGGGGCCTCTAGGCGTAGCAAGGGGAAGAGAGGTGCTAAACTGTATTATGCTTGTAGGCTGTAGTGGGGTAGCCAATATGGGGTACAACCCCAACTAGGGTTTCATATTTGTACCCAAACTTCTGTTAGTTCATTCATTCTTGCCTAGTGATTCTGACATGGTATCAGAGCAGGAGGTCCCTAGGACCTACCGACCGTTTTTTTTTTTAAGGGCCCACCACCGCTCGCATGCGGTTACCACGCTACCCCGTGCCCTAGCCTCATAGCGCCCTCGTGCGCCCTCGTTAGCGCCCTCGCGCGCCCCTCGTTAGCGCCCTCGCGCGCACCCTCGTTAGCGCCCTCGCGCGCCCCTTCGTTAGCGCCCTCGCGCGCCCCTTCGTTAGCGCCCTCGCGCGCCCCTTGCTAGCGCCCTCGCGCGCCCCTCACTAGCGCCCTCGCGCGCCCCTCGCCGAGCCGCCCGCTCGCAGCCCGCCCGCCCGCTCGCTGCCCGCTTCGCGGCCCGCCCGCTTCGCAGCCCGCTCGCTCGCTGCCCGCTTCGCGGCCCGCCCGCTTCGCAGCCCGCTCGCTCGCTGCCCGCTTCGCGGCCCGCCCACTTCGCAGCCCGCCCGCCCGCTCGCTGCCCGCTTCGCGGCCCGCCCGCCTCGCAGCCCGCTCGCCCCGCTGCCCGCTTCGCGGCCCGCCCACTTCGCAGCCCGCCCGCCCGCTAGCTGCCCACTTCGCGGCCCGCCCGCATCGCAGCCCGCTCGCCCCGCTGCCCGCTTCGCAGCCCGCCCGCCCGCCCGCTGCCCGCTTCGCGGCCCGCCCGCCTCGCAGCCCGCTCGCCCCGCTGCCCGCTTCGCAGCCCGCCCACTTCGCAGCCCGCCCGCCCGCTAGCTGCCCGCTTCGCGGCCCGCCCGTTTCGCTGCCCGCTCGCAGCGCCGCCCGCTCGCCCGCTACCTGCTTCGCAGCGCCGCCCGCTACCTGTGCACTGCCGCTTTCTCCTGTCCCCTCTGCTGCTGCCGCTGCTCTGCTGTGCCCTCACGCCTGAGCTATGGCCTCTATTCGCGTTCTTTCCTTCGATGCTGAGGGCCGTCCCGTGCAGTTCACTTCCTGGCTCGACGACCTGCAGTTGTATCTTATGAGCAATAGCACGGACCACATCTCCCTCTATGACTATGCGTCTGGTGCTGCCGCTGCTCCTGCTGCCACAGCCGAGCTTAGTGTTCGTTCCCACTGGCAGACCCGTGACGCAGCTGCTCGCCTAGCCATTCGCAGTCACCTGCCGCTAGCTGAGCTCGAGCATTTTGGCGACTGCAAATCCGCTAAGGCCCTGTACGATGCTGTCGTTGCTCGCTACTCCTCGCCTGCCACAGCCGAGCTTAGCCGCCTCATGCTGCCGTACCTGTTCCCCGATCTGTCCACCTTTGCTACAGTCGCCGATCTTATCACCCACCTTCGCACTAGTGATGCTCGCCTGCGTGCCGCCCTTCCCACCGAGTTCTGCGCTAAGAACCCCCCTCCACTGTACTGGACACTCCACTTCATAGTCACCCGTCTCCCTGACACCCTCAGCTCAGTTCGAGACCACTTCCTTGCTCGCTGTCCCACTGAGCTCACAGTCACCCTCCTAGAGGAGCAGCTGCTCGCGGCCGAAAAGAGCATTGTAGCTGTCGGTGCTGCTCGTGGCGCTCCTCGCACCCCCATCTTTGAGGGGTGTTCTCCCTCTCCCCTCGCTCCCTCCTACGCTGCTGCTGCTGCTGTTGACTTCCTTGGTGCTGAGTCTGTTGGCGCTGCTTCTACTCCTGGTGGGAGGCGCCGCACCGGCAAGGGCAAGGGGGGCAAGGGTGGTGGTGGTGGCGCTGGGGGGGGAGGAGGTGGGGGAGGTGGGGGGGGAGGCGGTGCTGGAGGGAGCGGTGGCGGGAGCGCTGGTGGGAGTGGGGTCGGTACTGGAGGCGGGGGCGGCGGAGGAAGCAGTGGCAGTAGTGGCGGCGGCGGCGGTGGCGGCGGTGGCGGTGGTGGCGGTGGTGGCGGTGGCGGTCGTAGCGGTGGTAGTGGTGGCGGCGGAGGTCGGAGTGGAGGCACTGGCTCGGGCCAGAGCTCCCAGCAGCAGCAGCGTCCCCAGACGACCCAGCAGCTTCGTGAGTGGCTTGCTCAGCGTGGGACGTCGGGGGGCAGTGGCCGCTGTTCTTATGTCATTCGCACAGGTGACCGCAAGGGACAGACGTGTGGGAGGTTCCACACCCCGTACCGCTGCTTCTCCCGCCTTGACGACGCTTGGCGTGAGGAGATGGGTGCGGATGTTGAGCGCCCCCGCTGGGCTGAGCTCATGAGGGCTGGTGTTGATGTCTTTGCTCTTGACTATGATGCTATTATTGCTGCCATGTATGCATTGACTGTTAGTGCCGAGGGAGACTGTTACTTGTGTGTGCCGCCTGACCCAGGTATAGAGCCCGCTGCCCTGGGTACTAGTGAGTCTGCTCTCTCTGGTATGGTGCCCCCTGTACTTGCTCCCTCCAGTGCTGTCCCGACTGTTTGCGAGTCTGCTCTCTCAGGTACAGCACCCACAGAGACTGCTCTCTCAGGTACCGCACCGGCTGAGGCCTGTCACACCTTCACCCTTGACTCAGGTGCTTCCCGTTGCTTCTTTCGTGACAGTACTGAGCTCACACCGCTTCCTGCACCGGTCCCAGTCTCCTTGGCTGACCCCTCTGGGGGCCCAGTCCTTGCCCAGTCCACCACTGTCCTCCCTTGTCCGGCGGTTCCGTCTGGCTCGTTGTCGGGTTTCCACCTCCCCTCGTTCTCGACGAACCTGGTGAGCAACGCTGTCCTCCAGGATCAGTGGGTTGACACCTTTACCCCTGGCGGACAGCGTGTGGCGATCTGCACGTGCTCCAGGACTGGCCGTCACCTGGCTACGTTCACCCGTCGGCCGGGGTCGAGTCTCTACACACTGACCACTGCGTCTCCCCAGGTAGCTGCTGTCGGTCAGGTGTCTGCGTCAGGTCTGGTGGCCCACGCCTGTGAGTGTCGTTCCCTGTCGCACCAGACTCTTCTCTGGCACCACCGCCTGGGTCACCCCTCCTTGCCACGCCTTCGTGGCATGCACCGTCGCCTCCTTGTGTCCGGTCTTCCCAGGTCCCTCCCTCCCCTCCCTGCCTCGCCTGCGCCGCCTTGCCTTCCTTGCGTCGAGGGGCGGCAGCGCGCCGCTCCTCACTCCTCCTCGTTCCCCCCGACAGAGGCTCCTCTGGAGACCCTCCACCTGGACGTGTGGGGCCCAGCCCGCGTTCGTGGTCAGGGCGGTGAGCGGTACTTTCTGCTGGTTGTTGACGACTACTCGCGTTACACCACGGTCTTCCCCTTGCGCACCAAGGGTGAGGTCCCTGCTGTTCTGATCCCTTGGATCCGCACGGTTCGTCTCCAGCTCCGCCGCCGTTTCCGGACGGATCTTCCTGTCCTGCGTCTGCACTCTGACAGAGGTGGTGAGTTTTCCTCCGATCTTCTGAGGACCTTCTGTCAGGCAGAGGGCATCGAGCAGACCTTCACGCTTCCGGACTCCCCACAGCAGAATGGGGTTGCTGAGCGCCGTATTGGCTTAGTCATGGAGATCGCTCGTACCTCCTTGGTCCACGCGGCGGCTCCCCATTTTCTGTGGCCGTTTGCTGTCCGGTACGCCGCGCATCAGCTCAACCTCTGGCCCCGTGTCTCCTTGCCGGAGACCTCGCCCACACTGCGTTGGACGGGGGAGGTTGGCGATGCGTCGCGCTTCCGGGTGTGGGGTGCTCGTGCCCTTGTCCGCGATACGTCCGCGGACAAGCTCTCCTCCCGCACGCTTCCCTGTGTCTTCCTTGGCTTTGTCCCTGACGCGCCTGGCTGGCAGTTTTACCACCCCACCTCGCGCCGGGTCTTCGCCTCTCAGGATGTCACCTTTGACGAGTCGGTCCCTTTTTACCGTCTCTTCCCCTACCGCACTGCCCCCCTCCCTCCCCCGCCGCTTTTCCTTGCTCCTGGTCCCCCTCCGGTAGACCCCCTTCCCCCTCAGGGTCCTGCTCCTTCAGGTGTCTCTCAAGTAGACCCTCCTCCCGTCGCTGAGCCTGTCGAGGTCACAGGTGACTCAGGTGCTGCTGCGGGTGGTGCTGCTGGGAGTGCTGAGCCTGGGGGTGCTGAGCCTGGGGGTGCTGGGCCTGGGGGTGCTGGGGCTGCAGGTGCTGGGCACTAGGCGACTGGGCGAAATGTACAGTTGTGCGCATTTGATTGAATTTCTCAAATTACTGTACACCCGTTTCTTCAACCGATTGGCTGGGGTGTGGTTTCGACATGGTGGAGTGTCCAGGTGCATTTACATTTCGAACCGCGTGCGGCTTTTTGACAACTCGTCCGTGACGTATGCACATTTCACACTGATCAATTAAAAGAGAGTTTTGCTCAATCCCGTGGAATCACGGCCCGTTTTATTATCGCCACGTGGCATGCCTTCGATCGCGTGAACCGCGATCTGTTTTATTGTTATCACAAACTTCAACAGACAACTAGTTAAGTTCTGTACTGCGCTGCCCGCGGACAAAAAATAAAAACCATTTGGGCCTAGCATGCGTTAGGGAGGCATCAACCCTAAACACCTTGCCTCTAAATGTTTAGGGTTGATGCATCCCTAACGCATGGGGCTTACCTATACGGGTTTTATTTTTTAGCGCGGGCAGCGATAACAATAAAACAGATCACGGTTCCCGCGATCATAGGCTCGCCACGTGGCAAAAATAAATCAAACCGCGCTTCCGCGGGATTGAGCGAAATTCTCTCAATTAAAAATACAGTACTGGTCGCTGAAACGCGACTCGCATTTGAGACACAATACAATCTATGCTGTTTTTGGGTGTCACAATGTGATTGATGTTAAGAGAACTAGGCAAGAATGAATGAACTAGCAGAAGTTTTGGGTACAAATATGAAACCCTAGTTGGGGTTGTACCCCATATTGGCTACCCCACTACAGCCTACAAGCATAATACAGTTTAACACACCCCCATAGGCAAAGTGGGGGAGAACAAAGGGTCACAAGACCAGTCCAGCAAAGCAAAGCAAAGCCCAGGGTGGATCACAACGTCACCACACTCCGAGCACAAGTAAAGGCCACAAGGCCAGTTCACATGCAGTGCTAGATATAGTACAAGACAAGCAACACAGTGATCAAAACCTAGCAAGCAAGCAACAAGATATATATAAAGTACAGTACAAAGAATGTCAAGCAGTGAGCAAGTGAGGAAACGTGGACACAAGGCCTAAAGAAGTACAGTGCCGCTGATGATCACTAGGCGGGAGCGCCTTGGTGAAGATATCAGCAGTGTTGGCCTTCGAGTCCACGTACACAAGCCGAAGCTGACCGCGCTGCTGAAGCTCTCGAGCAAGAAAGTAGCGAAGAGCAATGTGCTTCGTCCTGTGCTCCAGTCTGTGCTCCTGACACAAGGCAAGAGCCGCCTTGTTGTCACCGTACAGAACTGGAGGAGAACTAGGCCGCTCTCCCAAGTCAGTCAGCAGGTAGGTGATGCCAGAATCACTAGGCAAGAATGATGCATTGAATGAAACAGTTGGGTACAAGTAGCAAACCCTAGTTGGGGTTGTACCCCATATTGGCTACCCCACTACAGCCTACAAGCATAATACAGTTTAACACACCCCCATAGGCAAAGTGGGGGAGAACAAAGGGTCACAAGACCAGTCCAGCAAAGCAAAACAAAGCCCAGGGTGGATCACAACGTCACCACACTCCGAGCACAAGTAAAGGCCACAAGGCCAGTTCACATGCAGTGCTAGATATAGTACAAGACAAGCAACACAGTGATAAAAAAAAAACCTAGCAAGTAAGCAACAAGATATATATAAAGTACAGTACAAAGAATGTCAAGCAGTGAGCAAGTGAGGAAACGTGGACACAAGGCCTAAAGAAGTACAGTGCCGCTGATGATCACTAGGCGGGAGCGCCTTGGTGAAGATATCAGCAGTGTTGGCCTTCGAGTCCACGTACACAAGTCGAAGCTGACCGCGCTGCTGAAGCTCTCGAGCAAGAAAGTAGCGAAGAGCAATGTGCTTCGTCCTGTGCTCCAGTCTGTGCTCCTGACACAAGGCAAGAGCCGCCTTGTTGTCACCGTACAGAACTGGAGGAGAACTAGGCCGCTCTCCCAAGTCAGTCAGCAGGTAGGTGAGCCAGCGTAACTCCTGTGCAGCCATGGCTGTGGCGTAGATCTCAGCCTCACAACTAGAGCCGAGAACAGAGGAAGAGCGGGTGGACCGCCACGAGACAGAACCTGAGCCAAGGCTGAAGGTGTAACCCTGTGACGACCGCTGCGTAGCCAGGTCGTCCACCCAAGAGGCGTCCGAGTGACCAGTGAGGACAACTCTGTCGCGTCCTCCAAGCACCAGCCCCATGCCTGATGTACTGCACAGGTACCGCAGCACCCTCTTAGCAGCCTCCCAGTGCTCTCGCCTGTGTCTCCCAGGCGCAACGTAACGAGCAAGGATGCTAAGAGGGTACGCGAGGTCAGGTCGCGTGCAAGTCATCAGGTACATGAGGCAGCCTACAAGCTCTGGGTACGGGCCACTCGGCTCTACGGACTCGTCCGAAGGTGGAGCTGAGAGTGAGTGGCTGGTAGCCAGAGGTGTGGCCTGTGGTGAGGAGAACTGGAAACCGAAGCGCTGAAGGACCTGCTGCACCATGTGTGACTGAGTCAGGGTGATGGTGCGACGGGCTCTGTCCCGGGTGATCTGCAAGCCAAGGTAGCTACGCAGTTCACCCAGGTCAGTGCAGGTGTGTCTCTTCTGCAGCTCCGACTTCACACGAGCGAGTGCCTCAGTGTCAGCAGTAGCAAAGACCAAGTCGTCAACGTACACGAGGATGTAGAACGGCGGCAGCGACGTGTCAGTGCGCAGAAACAGCGACGGGTCAGTAGTAGAAGGCGCGAACCCAAGAGCCGCAAGAGTAGTCCTCAGTGTGTCGTGCCACTCACGTGGCGCCTGGCGGAGACCGTAGACTGGCCGGCGGAGACTCCACTGAGTACCAGGGGGAAACGACCCAGTAAAGCCAGGTGGGCGGCGCAGCCAGATCTCCTCGTGCAGGCTGCCCTGCAGGAACGCTGTGCTGAAGTCAAGAGAGTGAAGCTCGTAGTCACGCTGAGCAGCAACGTGCAGCAGAACCCGAAGAGTGGTCATCTTCGGGGTGGGGGAGAAGGTCTGGAAGAAGTCGACCCCCTGACGCTGACTGAAGCCTCTAGCAACGTAACGAGCCTTGAAGACAGGCGGAGAACCTGGCGGCCGCTTCACCCTGAAAATCCACATGCCATCGACGATGTTCGCCCCAGGAGGGGGAACCTCGTCGACGTAGGTGCCTGTGGACTTCCAGGATGCCATCTCTGCGTCCATGGCTGTCTGCCACTGAGAGGAGTAGGGACCCGAGATCGCCTCTGCGTAAGTGCGCGGAGTGGGGATGTCTAGTGCATCCGGGTCTCCCTCAGGGGCAAGCAACCAGGCCACGAGATGAGGTACAGCAGCCGCAAGAGAGTCAAAGTCCTCCTGCCTGTCCTCAAGGACGTCCGTGCCAAGAGCACACTCACCCCCGACGGACGGAGGACAGACAGACGCAGACTCTGACTCAGCGACAAGGCTAGCAGCGTAGTCTAGACGACAGGCAGCAGCAAAGTCAACCAACTCAGCGACCAGAGCAGACGCAGCCGAGGACTCAAAGGTGGGGTCAGTGACAACAGTAGCAAGGAGACGCGTGACTGTAGGGTGCTCAGCGCGATACCGGTCAGACTCAGGGTCCGGAACGGCAGGCAACGAGGACGCAGGAGGAGACGGTAGAGGGACACGCCGAGGAGCAGTAGAGGGACGCAGAGTCATGTAGTGAGTGCCTGGGACAGGAGGAGGACGCTCACGACGGACACGACTACCAGTGCGAGCAGGACGAACAGGCGACACAGGACGAGACTCAGGCTCACGACGCTCTGTAAGACCTCCTGTGGGACCAGTATAAGGAGAGGGAGCAGGGAGAGGCGAGGCAGGCGGTAACTGTGACTGCGGCTGGACAGGCGGAGGACACTCTACGGAGGGAGGAGGACAAGGAGGAGGAGCCTGCCCAAGAACCTGCTGAAGGAGCGGTACGAAGTACGGTCGCGGCCGCGCAGCGTCTCCAGAAGCAGAAGGGACTCCAGCGGCCGGGTCCTCAGCACCAGTAGGAGCTCCAGCGTCCGGGTCCACAGCACCAGCAGCAGCTCCACCGGCCGGGTCCTCAGCTCCAGCAGCAGCTCCACCAGGTGGGTCCGCAGCACCAGCAGCAGCGCCACCCCCAGAGTCGGCAGCTCCAACTCCGCTAGCACCGCCAGCGCCAGAGTCCCCAGCTCCAGCAGCTCCAGTCGCAGTGCTCCCAGAACGAGCAGCTCCAGTACCCCCAACTCCAGCCGAGCCACTAGGACGGCGAAAGCGTCGGACGTACCAGTCACGAAGCTGCTGCGGTGTGAGAGACTGCTCAGCACCCCGAACCGGAGCACCCCCAGACGCAGTAACCCGAGGCTCCGTAGGCTCAGTAGCAGCACCCCCAGGCTCAGTACCCGCAGGCTCAGTACCCGCAGGCTCAGCACCCCCAGTCGCAGCACCCCCAGGCTCAGCACCCCCAGGCGGCAAACTCTCAGGCACAGTACCCTCAGCTCCAGCACCCTCAGTCCCAGCACCTGCAGCCCCAGCACCCCCAGACCCAGCACCCCCAGGCTCAGCACCCCCAGGCTCAGCACTCCCAGCAGCACCACCCGCAGCAGCACCTGAGTCACCTGTGACCTCGACAGGCTCAGTGACGGGAGGAGGGTCTACCTGAGAGACACCTGAAGGAGCAGGACCCTGAGGGGGGAGGGGGTCTACCGGAGGGGGACCAGGAGCAAGGAAAAGCGGCGGGGGAGGGAGGGGGGCAGTGCGGTAGGGGAAGAGACGGTAAAAAGGGACCGACTCGTCAAAGGTGACATCCTGAGAGGCGAAGACCCGGCGCGAGGTGGGGTGGTAAAACTGCCAGCCAGGCGCGTCAGGGACAAAGCCAAGGAAGACACAGGGAAGCGTGCGGGAGGAGAGCTTGTCCGCGGACGTATCGCGGACAAGGGCACGAGCACCCCACACCCGGAAGCGCGACGCATCGCCAACCTCCCCCGTCCAACGCAGTGTGGGCGAGGTCTCCGGCAAGGAGAC